TCATAGTATATACAGATATGGAATCATGTTGTACACCTGAAACTCATGCTATATGTCAATTATACCTCAATTAAATAGATATACGTGTATATATATCTGGCGTTCTTTAACAGTTGAAAAATGTTCATGCATTCTTTTTCTCTTTCAAAGGCAGTTCTATTTATCTGCCACAGAATTTTATCCCAATTTTTATGCTTACAAGTTATGGCTGATTACCCTATTGTACTACTCTGAAACAAAACAAAACAAACAAACAAACAAACAACAACAACAACAAAAAATATATATATATATCGGGGGTGCCAAAAAAATGTACACATTTGAAGAGATGTTATCTATGCTCAAGCAGTAGTTCGCGGTAATCAGAAGTGTCTGGACACTGATGGTAACCACTTTGAGCACCTCTTGTAATTGCAGAAGTCAAATGTGACTTGTATTCATCTTTTATTATCAGTATATACTGAGTATTACAACTAACACAGTTTTCTCCTTTCTTAAAATGTGTATACATTTTTGGCACCATAGATATGATTTTTAGTTATTTCAAGTGTTTGTCTCTGTATTTTAAGTGTTTTTATTCTGGTTAGAGTTGTTTTTAAATTTAATAGCAAGCAGTCAATAAAAACACAGTATTGAAGCTTAATGGAAGAGGCAGGGCTCCCTCTCCTCCCCCACCGGGGATGGAATGAGAACGGTTTTGTAGAAATAGCAAAGCTATGAGTAATGTGGGAAAGAGCTGGGAACTAAATTTAACACAAGTCACAGAACGAGGTCCCACCGAGATTTGAACTCGGATTGCTGGATTCAGAGTCCAGAGTGCTAACCATTACACCATGGGGCCTGCTTGCCAGTTGGCTCTCTTTCACCCTTTGGTGACATAGGTTTTCTTCCTTTAGTCCCCCTAACTTGTTCTAGAGGTACAAGCCCAACTGCTTTTTCTCCTCTACGAGTAAGTCGTGGACAGCTACCAGTCACGTGCGGGCCAATACCTTTTACACTGGAGTCTTCATGGAAAACACTGACTTCCAGACATCAGGAAGCCCCTCCACTAGTCCACCCCGCATTTCCTCCCAGTGGTTCCGGACCTACTGCTCCCGCCTGTCTTCACTGGACAACAGGTTGAGGTCGCTCACGACCCCATCGTGTTTCAGGGGACACGTGTTTTGTGTTGCAGATCACACTGCCTGTGGGATGGGGACCATTGTCACGGTTACAGGTGAGGCACCTCCGGCAGAGACTGGAGACCCTTAAACCTGCTTTGTCATCGGGTCTTTTCTTGAAAAACCTTTTACTGGGGTGGAACCTGCCACTTTCGCGGACACGCTATGGAAAGATTTCCCCTAAGTCACGGGGAGACATTGGTGTTCACTTACGCAAAAGTGAATATACTTGGAGGACGCGGCTGGAAGAGGCCAGCGGCTGCGGGGCGTAACTCACGGCGGAGGAGGAGCGCGCGTACCCTGCTCCGCGTTCACCAACGGGTATGAGTGCAGGGGCTCCCCCAGACTGACTCAGGGTAACCCCGCCGCCCCACCTCGCGCTTCCCTTTCCTGCACACACGGAGCTCACTGTGAAAACCCCCAGAACCGCGGTTTCCGCGCGGGGTCTCGGGGAACGTCCTGAGGCCGCTGCGGGCTGGAGCACGGGTTCTGGCCACGCGTCTAGGAGCGAGCGCTTCCGTTTCATGGTGCTGGAGAGCCCAGCTTTGCTCCAAGTGGTTTCTCGGGATTCGATGCCTGTCGGATAAGAGCTGGCCGGGTGGAAACGGGGTTTCAAGGCTTGCAGGTTGGGGCTGCTTCCGGGACTTCAGATTTTCTTCTGAGGAAACGCTGGAGGCTTCGAGGACGATGCGCCCCCTGTGGACACGGATTATAAAGCGCAAAACAAAACAACCCCACAAAAGCCCCAAACAAAGAAAAACCCCCTTTCACACACACAACCCTGTAACTCCCCCTGTAAAATACCAGGCTTCCTGTGGGATTCCCTTGCAACGGACTTTTTTCAAGATAGCTCTTATTGGACAAAATCTTTAAGTTGGTTCTCTTCTGGGAATCTGGGTTGGGAGTTTTCCTGAAGCGTAGATCAGGTCGAGGATGGCCAAGGACAGCTGTTGCTTGCACAGAGCAGGTAGGAAACCCTCAAGAAAGGGTAGAAATCCTCTGCGGGAGATTCCCAACCTCAAAATCTGGTTGAGACAAGGAAAGGGTCCTTACACAAGAGCTGCTTTTAAACCTGCTTCGGGAAAGCCCCACGGATTGCTCCTCCCTCGATATAAGCCAGAGATAAATATACTACTTGAACTCCGTTTTCCAACACCAAAGGGAAAAATAGTTCCAATTGCCTTGACCCTGTTAACCTGAAAAGGCCAAAATGAGAGGCAACAGCATTTATTTGAGATCAATATGAATAGCTATTTGGGAAGCACAGATTCAAGCATAAGCCCAATTAGTGTTCTGATGAGACAAAGGCAGTAGGTATTTATGAGAATAGGAAGGGGAACAATTCCATCAGTAGAAGGAAGGCATTGCTATTGGTGCAGAAAAAGCTAATATACTGATGTTAATTCTAAACAATGTTCATTTTCAGTATTGTGACCGTCAGTCCAGTAGTCCTATGATTTTTGTTATCTTTGCCAACAGTTCTTTGGGACAAAGTGTTGCTTTCGGCTGAGTCCGGAGTTTACTTTGCCGTTTCAACATTCTGAATGTTTGAGGCGTAAGACGTGCCAGGCAGTTCCTATGACACTTTTGAAGAAAAGTGTCAACAAAACAAAAAAGCAACCTACTGAATGGGAGAAGATATTTGCCAATTATAAGTTTGATAAAGGGCTAATATCCAAAAATATAAGGAACTCATACAACTTAAAACAACAAAAAAACCCCAAACAAAACAACTTTAAAGTATGCAGAGGACCTGAATAGACGTCCCTCCAAAGACATCCGGATGGCTTAGAAACATGAGATGTTCAGCGTCACTAGTCACCAGGGAAATGCAGTGTGACATGCCATATTCATCTTGTACATGGAGTGTTTGTTAACAGTACAGTTGATTCTACAAATCAATACTCAGCAGTTAAAAATATCTCCAGTCACATAGCAAGCGGTGGCCAGAAGCCCAGCCTTCTACTTATCCAATTGGGCTGTGAGCTGCAGTACACCTTGTGCCTCCATCTGTTGTTTGGCAAGGACCAGGTGGAGACTTGCATTGATTAGTCCCTTTCTTGCCTAAAGGATTCCTATGTCCACAGCACCCCACCACATCACCCCAGGGCCCCTCGCAGCCACCTCACCTTCTCCCAGAATGCCTGAGCGAACAGCACTTCCTCCCCACCGCTGTTTGCAACAGGAAGGGGGCAGAGCGAGCACTGGGAGGCTTTCCCGCCCGCGCTCCTGTAGTTTTCAACTCGGTCCAAAGGATCCAATACAAGACTGCTCATTTAAAAAAATAAGTTGTTTTCCACTTTTCCTTTAGTCTCAACTTCAGGTCTCTCCGAGGCTACGGTAGTGCTAAGCGCCTTTTCTAGACTCGGTGAGCCTGGGTCATGCTAACAGCTAATTAGCCGTTAGTTTTATCAGCCAAGTGGCTTCCGGTATTTCCCTGGCGAACTGCTCTAGGTTTTCAGATATTGCCGCTATCCAGTCAAAACGCGGGCAAAAATTATATACCTTTCAAACCAGATGTGCTTGCAACACCCCAAACTTTCCGTCGTCTTAACCAATGTCAGGTAAAAACTATACATTAAATTTTATTTTTCACGATGTCCCCCACAAGCACCAAACCCCATCAAGTGCAACACCTTTTTTTGAAATGTTAAATGGCTCTGAAAAGAGCCTTTGGGTTCCAGAGTGCTGCACAGGCGCTCACTTGGAGCTGGTGTACTTGGTGACGGCCTTGGTGCCCTCGGACACGGCGTG